GCTGACTGGATTGCTTCTTGGAAATCAATTTCACTAACTGGATATTTAGAACTGGATGATGAATAGATAGCTCATGCCTTCAACTTCTCACATGCTTCACAAGGGATACCACCACCTACAGCTGCCCTATTAGCTTATTTTGCTGGATCTCCCTTGCCTCAGACAGAATGCTTGTTTCCTGTTCATTCCTGATTTTCTTTGAGCACCTGCCTGAGCATGTAGATTCTAGCTCTTCTTTCTGACTCCTACTGCGTATGCTAAAAACCTAATTATATTGTATCCTTGCTGAATCTGTAATAATATCTGCCTTTCTAAAAGAGAATATTTATGCTTTTATTTTCCTTTTTTGGGAGCCATGGATTATTTGGTTCATGTGATCTGGAAAGGAGAAAACAGTGGACACCAGATAGAGCAATTTTCTCTAGAGCAATCACTAGGAGGGACTCCCCAGTCTCCATTTAGATTGCTCATCTTCATTCATTGTTTTCTAAGTCTTGGAACCAAAGTGAGATGCTAGAGAAGGATTTAATTCTTCAGGACCCTAAGCTCCCACTTGTAACACAAGGGTTGAGGGAGAAAACCCTAGCATCTCCAGGCAGCAATAGGTCTAATCAGTTACTTTCTGTGTGTTTAGAGTATAAACCATACACCATGGTTTGGATTTATTCCCTTGGCTGCATGATCAACCCTTGCTCCTTCAGATGTGGTGTTCCTGGAACACAGACTCAGAGTAAAGATCAAACAGAATGGATTTTAGACATATCTGATATAATCTTACTATTTTGCTGATAAGAAAGTTGAAACTCAGAGAAGTTACTTGTTTAAGGTGATTCAGTTGGATTGGATAGTGATAGATCTGGGACTAAAACTGGCCATGCTGCCTCTTTCATGGCTGCTGACGTTTGGTAACTGTCTTACTCCTTAACTTCTTTTACTTTATCTGGTATTTGAAGTGATCTCATGCTCAGGTAGATGACCGATTTTGCAGCTGAACCTCGAAGTTCCTTGAAATTTTCATATATGGTGACTTTTCCTCTGAGCCCACTTCCATCACAGTCTCCTATAGATCTTCTTATCTCTTACTTGTCACATGTCTGAAATATCTCAGTCTCCAAGTACAATCATCACTTTTCTCATATGCATTTCATTAAGAGAGTTCAAGTACAAACTATAAATGTAAGTCAAAGGATGATAATCTCTGGAGAGTGAGGAGAGACAAGCATGACTTCCCTTTAAAGGAATAGGACTATTATTCCCTTTCTGCCTCTATTTTCTCCTTCTCAACCCTTTCCTGTGTTCCTGTCTTCCTTGCTCAGGTTCCCCAACATGATTCATCTAGTTATCTAGTCTTTACTAATGTCCTCAGTGCTCTTTATTTATTGTTTTTTCTTTGCACTTATCTGACAAAAATCCAATTCTGAATATGTTGGCTTTCTCCCTGCTTCTATCAGGGCTGATACAAGTCAATGGAGGAAATCCCACAGCTGGGCTGACCAATGTCTCTACAACAGTGTTTCTTAAAGTGTGGTCCCCAGACTGGTAACATCAGTATGATTTGGGAACTTGTTAGAAATGCAAGGCCCAGACTCACTCAGTCTACTGAATCAGAAACTCTTGAAATGAAATACAACAATATGTATTTTAACAAGTTTCCCAGGTAATCCTGATACACCATAAAGTTCAAAAAATACTACTGTATCAAATCTTTGTCTTTAACCTCAATTTGCTATTGGTACTAGCTGTTAATCTTTATATGTTTTCTACATCAGTGATCCTCTATGTTTTGCATACTAGCTTCTTTAAACCTCCATTTTCCTCATATCTGTGGTCCTGCCTGTCTCTCCCCACTCTCCAGGGACCATCACCCTCTGGCTTATATAGTTTGTGCTTGAACTCCCTTAAACACCTGCCATCAAATCCTCAGACTTACTGCAGTTAGTTTCAGTGCAAGAGTGTTCATTTTCTTTGTGTTGAAGGCCAGCCCATACACCATACCTTTCCCTTCAGCATCAGGAACTTTCTCTCTTCATTCAAGTTCTCTCTCTCCACTGGCATCTTCCACCCAACCTCGGAGCTGTCAGCACAGAGTCTGACCCGGGGCTCGAACTCACGAGCTGCGAGATCATGAACTGAGCCGAAGTTGGATGCTTAACTGACTGAGCCACCCAGGTGCCTGAGGGGTTTTGATTTTAAGTGTCATAAAAATCCCTGTAGGATTTTAAGCAAGGGAGCAACATTACCTGATATATAGTTTATGAAGATTTTACCTTTCTTGTGTGGAGAATGGAGTGCATGGGCTAAACCAAGAAAATCTGTTCAGCTGTAGTGGAGATGCAACTAAATTTGGGTTATGATTTGGAGATAGAGTTAATGGGAGAGGATGGAGAGAATCAAAGGTAATCCTAGTCTTTTTGTTTTTAACAACTATGTGGATAATGATGTTGTTAGACTGGAAAGGGATAAGATGACTGGAAAAAAAAACAAGAATGTTTTGTTCATGTTGAGTTTCAATTGTTTATTGGAGATCTATGAGAAGATAGGCATATAAATGCTTGAATTTAGAATTCTAGGAAGAGATCAGGGATAGAAATATAGATTTAGGAATCTTTGGCCTATAGATGACATTTGAAGCTCTAAGGAATCCTGGGAAAGTATGTAGAAAGAGAATGTAGCCTATGACAAAGTTCTGGGCTACTCTAATATTTAAAATGAGTAGCCACTTGTATGGCTCAGTTGGTTAAGTGTCTGACTCTTGGTTTCAGCTCAGGTCATGATCTCACAGTTTGTGAGTTTGAGCACACATCAGCGTGCACTGACAGTGCACAGCCTGCTTGGGATTTCTCTCTCCCTCTCTCTCTCTCAAAAAAATATATATTATTAA